CAAGAAATTTTGACAAGAATGTCAAAACTTCCTGGCGATTTGCGGAAAAACATATTTTCTTTATCCTCTCTTTCAATTGCAACTATAAATGTTTGTTTATATTTTTGGTAAAAATCTAATTGAATTTAATTAAAAAGTCCAATTCGGATTACGCACTATCACATCAGTAAGTCCAATTAAATTAATATCATGATCATCATCATTATTCTCCCCGTATTCTATCGAATATGGTGTCGTTCCCCTACGTAGTTGTTCTTTATTTCTTTCCATGATTGTCTAATATTTGCTTTTCGGTGCCATGTTGTACCGGCTTGTTCCTTTATGTCATAGTGGCATCTTAAATTTGGACTTCTTATTGGCCTCTTAACGCCTCTTGGATACCACAGTATAATTCTAATGGATCATATATTGTTAGTTCATCTCGTTAAATGCCACGTCCACTGCTATTTTAAAGATTTAATCTGTGAATTATATACGTGATCTTGGTTTTCTGTATCATCCATTTTATTCTTTTTTTATTTCTCTTTGTTTTACCCAGTGTTCAATCACAAATTAACCCCTTAATTTGTAATCTCACATTATTCTTAACTTCTTAATCTTTTATAGTTTCACCGTGTATAAGTTTGCATTATATATATTGCAAAACCATATCGTATGATAATTTAATAATTAGGTCATTTACCTACAACTAAATAAATTGCCGAATAATAATATTTTCTAATTGAACTTCCTAAGTGTCGCAATTAAGGCGTAGATTAAATTGTATTATAAGCAAAATTTAGGTGGTGTGATATGAACGAAGCAATGACCTAAGGTGCTTATGTATCTATTATGTGTGAGATTATAAATTGGGGATTTGAGTTCAAATGAACACAGTCAATATTGAGTAGTTACCGAACGAACACCATATTGTGTAATTACGAGTTGCTGTCAATAAATCATCACTGTTACTCCACAACTTTAACATTTATTAACCCTATCGTCATCGATCGACGAGAAGCGGACAAAGGGGCACTTACGAACCGAACCGAACTTCAATACTAAGTTCGATATTTTCCACCCAGCATGCCTCGCTTCATTGACCTTTGAGTGACTTTGAGTTGTGCTATCTCTTTCTTTGGTGTCCTACATTCATAGTTATATGTCTTGATTGGTAGTATACACATATCGAATGCTTTTTTATTCAGGTAAAGTGACATCTTCAATTTAATTATAACTGAATTTCTACAAAACGATGCCCAAAACAGTTTTATTCTTCTGTTGTTTTCTGGGTATAAGGAACTAGATTTATAAATAACTAATTGTCTCAGTCGGACATACTCGTCTACTGTCTCACGTACAGTGTTGATTAATACATCTTGGACATCCACTAGCTCGTTGTACATAGTTTTTGTTTTTGTCCAGTTGATTTTCAGGCCAAATTCATTGCTAGATGTATTTTGGTCCCTTTTGGTTGTTCTGTTTACTTATAATCCTGAAAAACTACAAGAACTTATAGTTCTTGTAGTTTTTCAGGATTATTATTAACAGAACAACACGTTTGCAAATCTTACATGGCTGAGGCATTCTTCATCAATAGATAGGCCTTTTGTTCTGCTAGATCATTTTGCTTAATATATTTTCTAGAGTTACAGTAAAGAGATTTAACAATATTACATCTCCTTGTCGGACGCCTCTTGTAGTGGAAAATTCTGGAGTACGCCAGACAACTTTTACCTTGTCTGTACTTATTGCTAAAAGTCTCATGAACGGTTTGTCAAAGCTTTTATTACTACCTTGGGATGTTTAGAATCAAAAGCCTTGCATTACATACTGTGCAGTATGTAATGCATTTGTTAATCTATTGTTAATGATCTTTGCAAATATCTTTTCTATGATTGGTAGAAGACTTATAGTAGGTTTTGATATTCTCTTGGCTACCTTTCTTATGAATGAATTTTGCTGTATTCCATTGTTCTGGTATGCATTTTGAGCTTAGACAGTTTATAAATCTGCCTGACAAGATTTTTTAGGTTTCTTTGCCAGCATATTTAAGCAATTCTACTGTTATGCCATCCATTCCAGCTGCTCAATGGTTTATGCTTTTCTTGTTTTCGTATAGTTTTTTCTATTTTTCTGAAGCTATTTTCTTGTGGAATTTTAAATTAATTACTATTTAACTGGGAATAAACCACAATTAAATACAAAAATAACAAAAAATTTTGTTTTTTGTTACATAGTGAAAAATTCATCTAATAATTTAATTTTATCTGACTCATTTTTATTGACAATTCAGACATACATTATGCATTTTAAAGTAGACGACTTTAAAATTATATTGCCAATATTGTTAAGTTGCGCTCCTGGGACGACTTGACTTATAAAATCGTTCATTCGATTACATGAAATCAACTTTAACTTGAGAATAACCGTCGGAAAAAAATCATAGCATGTAATTCGTCTTTAAAAAGACAAACACATGACATGATGACAGTAAAATTCTCCTGTTAGTGATTACATAGTAAATTATGAGGGAAAACTAGGAAAAAACCTCATAATACTATCCCGACATGGTAAGTATTTGTTCGTGCATTTAGTTTACCTTCAATAAACACCAAAATTCTGATTTTATATGTTTCGTTATTTAGAAAACATAAAGGATAGGAAATAAATTCAACATTTCAACAACATTCAAAACAACAAACACGTTGAGATCTATTTTCTCTAAAACCAAACTTAACAATGAACAAGAAAGGACAAAGAATTGCATTTATAAAGTACCTTGTGAATGCGATCAGTTTTATTTAGGTGAAACATCAAGACCATTAAATGAAAGAATAAGTGAACATCAATCTTATATTAAAAATAGAAAATTTGATAGATCTCAAATATGTAAACACGCATGGGATAATGAACATAGGGTTCAATGGAATAATTCAAATGTAGTCCTAAAAGAAACGGATGGTAAAAAAGAAAAATCAAAGAAGCAGCTCTAATTATGCTAAATGAGACTAATTGTGTCGGAAATTCCTCGGCAGAATGTAGTAGGATCTGGTTACCAATATTGAAAGAGGAAGTTATTAATAAGAAAACACCAGTATTAGTAAGTCAGTAACATATAGGGATACATCATTTATGTTTTTTAAATAACGAAACATATGAAATCAGAATTTTGGTGTTTATTAAAGGTAAGCTAAATGCACGAACAAATACTTACCATGTCGGGATAGTATTATGAGATTTTTTTCCTGGTTTTCCCTCATAATTTACTATGTAATCACTAATAGGAGAATTTTACTGTCATCATGTCATGTGTTTTTCTTTTTAAAGACGAATTACATGCTATGATTTTTTTTCCGACGGATATTCTCAAGTTAAAGTTGATTTCATGTAATTGAACGAACTATCTTATAAGTAAAGTCGTCCCAGGAGCGCAGCTCAACAGTATTGGCAATATCATTTTAAAGTCGTCTACTTTAAAATGCATAATGTATGTCTGAATTGTCAATATCAATATTTCAGATCAAATTAAATTATTAGAAGAATTTTTCACTATGTAACAAAAACAAAATTTGTTTAATTTACTGTTTGTATTTTGAGAACGATTTCCGAAGTAAAAATTAAAACGTCAATAAACGTATTTTTATCTTTAAATGTGGATTATTCCCAGTTAAATAGTCATTAATAGTTTTTTCTGTTTTCAAATGCATTTACTACAATTCTTTCATTGTATTTGCTTCCTTAATACTTTTTCTTACTATGTTACAAAGTTCTGTGTATTATATTTTCTGTATGTTGCTACTTACTTTCATTTAATTTCTTTATTTTATCATTATTTTGGTTTTATTAGACAGTTTACTATGTACATTTTGATGTTGCGAGCCTTCGAATTTTTTTTGGCAATATCCAGGATGATTTCCATTAACTGAAAGCTCTTCACTTGGTAATTTAATCTTTTATCATCTTTTATCAATGTTCTTTCGTATATCTGGTGATCAGAGTTTTCTTTTAGATTAATATTTTTGCCGGTTACTGTTTATTTTGTGATTAATTTTATTCTGTCTAGTTTCAAATCCAAAACAATTTTTGCTCTGATTAGTGTATGGTCGCTACCTGCTTGAAATTTAATTATTCCACTGACATATTTTATTACTACAATTTTGCTTGTTAGAAATAAATCAATTTCATTCTTAGTGGTTCCGTTTGGTGCCATCTACCCAAGTCCAGTTTATGTTCGATTTTTTACTAAAGTATGTATTTGCAATAGACATGTTTTGGTAGTGTGCAAACTGAACCAGTCTTTCTTCAAGTTTTATTTATCTCCATATTTTCCATTGCTTGTTTCTTATTTTTTTTCTTTCCCACTTTGGCATTAAAGTCATCAATTAAATATTAGAAGTGACTTTTATTGTTATTTAATGCTTCGGTTATATTACAGAGTTCCCCAATTTTTTCGTTAGTGTGATTAATCGTTGGGGCGTATATTTGTATATTGTATCTCTCTGATAGTTGTACGGGTAAGCTAGCTACTCTATCCGGGATATTAGTTATTATGTATTATGTTCTTGTTAATAATAAATTCAATACTGCCTGTTCTACCTGTTGATGTTCCTTAGCAGTAAAATGTGTTTCCTGTCATTAATTTCAATAGCTCTGCATCGCTCCGTCGAATTTCTATGATGTCTATTTTATAATTTTAGTTTCTTCTTCCAGTTCTACAAGTCTAGATTGATTTGATAGTGAGCGGCAGTTATATGTTGCTATATAAAGCGTTGTTGTTTTATTTAGGTAGCGATTCAGACTCCACAAGTTCTTAGCACTTTCTGCCCTCCTGGCTGGACCTTGAAAACTACCCAGTTCAGGGTCATTTGGGCCTACGGAAATGAGGGCCATGATTTGAGTGTGTCAAAATCAATATATCTCTAATTATATACTTAAATTTTATAGCGAACCAAGATGATCCAAATTGGGAAGAAAAACAATTAAGGCGCTATATTTATCGTGCTCCGGAATTGCTGCGAATGTCTGCACCACCTGCAAGAGGATCGCAGAAGGGAGATGTGTACTCTTTTGCTATTTTACTGTACGAAATAATTGGTAGAGAAGGTCCATGGGGAAAAATCAATCTAGATATGCATGGTAAGTATTTTACGTCAAAATGTTGCATTGGTATATTTATGTTATGATTATATATATATATATATATATATATATATATATATATATATCCGATATATATATATATATATATATTTATATATATATATATATATATATATATATATATATATATATATATATCCGAAAGTAAACTTTAAATATTGGGTATGCAGCAATAAAAATCAACCGTGTACTCTTTTAAATTTTTAATCAAAGCTTTCGGACATTGGTTATGTCCTTCATCAGAGAGCTACAAATGTGATGAATAATTTTTTTTTAATATCTACAATTAATTAAAAATTCGATACTTACAAATCATTACAATCATCAAGTTGTATCATCAATGATTTTATAAAATGTTCATAAAACTTATCACAGACTGTCATATCTGTTGAGTCTAAAACCTATTCCTACATTTAAAATTTTAAAAATTATTTTACATTCACAAACACTATTATAAACAAATTTGTGACATTGATATTATTAATTTTATTGTATCGTCATTAGTTTTTGTCACGACAATCCAGTGGTTTTTATTATTATTGGCTTTAAATTATTAAATAGGTTTAGACTCAACAGATATGACAGACTGTGATAAATTTTATCAACATTTAATAAAACCATTGATGATACAACCTCATTAAGTTTGTAAGTATCGAATATGTAATTCTTCTTCTTCTTCTTAGCCTTCTGTCGTCCATGTTCTCATCTGTGGTCTTCCTCTTGGTCGTTGTCTCCAATGTTGTATTGTAATATTCCAACGTTGGTCTTTTTGTCTAGCAGTGTGGCCCGCGAAGCTCCATTTAAGTTTTGCAATTTTTATTGTTATGTCCTCGACTTTTGTTTTGGATCTTACCCAGTCGTTCCTCTTTTTATCTGACAGTCGTATACCTAACATTACTCTTTCCATTGTGGCTAGTTTATTCATGTTTGCCTTGGTTAGGGTCCAGGTTTGACATCCATATGTCATGATAGGAAGGATGCATTGGTTGAACACTTTGCTTCTCAAGTATTGGGGTATTTTGCGGTTCTTAAGTATCCAACTAAGTTTTCCAAATCCTGCCCATGCTAGTCTTGCTCTTCTAGTAATTTCCGCACTTTGGTTCTCTTTGTCAAGTCTCAGGATTTGGCCTAGGTAGAAATATTCCTGGATTTGTTCTATCTCACTGCCGCTTATAGATATCTGTCTGGGGTCTTCTGTGTTTGTCATTATTTTTGCTTTTTTCATATTCATTTTTAGGCCGACGTATTGTGAGCTGGCTGCTAGTTCCCCCAATATAATTTGCGGTTCCTCGAATGTGCTCGCTATAGTCACTATGTCGTCAGCGAATCTGAGGTGGTTTAACTTGTTACCATTAACGTTAATGCCATAGGTTGACCAATTTGTAGTTTTGAAGACGTCTTCTAGAGCTAGGTTGAAAAGCTTTGGCGATATTACGTCTTATTGTCTCACTCCTCTCTTAATGGTTTTTTTTTTAAATTAATTTAATTTATTGGGAATTTTTAATTAATTGTAAAAATTAAAAAAATATATTCATCACATTTGTAGCTCCCCGATAAAGAACATAACCAATGTCCGAAAGCTTGGATTAAAAATTTAAAAGAGTATTCATTTTTATTGCTGCATACTTTTGGTTCACATTATATATATATATATATATATATATATATATATATATATATATTATATATATATATATACAAATAGTTGGAAGTTGTCTATGATTTTCTTGTTCTCACTAATTAATATTAAATAACATTTTATTTACTTTAGACCACATGGTCATTTGCTGTGCTAATTTTTATAAGTTCATATATGTTGTTAGTTACTTAATTGTTTATACAAGATCAGCGTATTATGTCCATTTACTTAAGTTTCATTCACATTACTGTTAATAACTTTGAGTGCTACATGTCTTTTTAAGATGAACTGATGATGCTTTCAAAACTCGAAAGCGAAACGTCTTCAAAATAGATAAAGTAGCCTATCAACTTTGTCTTTTATTTCTCCTATAAATAGATTATATATAAATAGATAATAATAATTCTCCTATAAATAGATAATAAATTAAATTTTTCAGTCTTCAGAAAACCAACTCAGACTGACCATACCATCCCTAGATCTTCTAATCATCCTTTTCAACAGAAAATGGCCTCCTTTTATTGCTATATCCATCGTTTACTTAGCTTACCTCTGTCAGATTCAAATTTTAAATCAGAATTAGAAATTATTAAACAACTTGCTTATAGTAACGGTTACACCCCTACTTTGGTTGATAACATACTCAACAAATTAAGGAATAAAAGGAATAGATCACTAGCATACAACACTGTCCATAACATTTCTAACTCGACAGTTATTTATCGATCAATATCGTACTTAGGTTATCCCTCAGACAATATAGCCAGAATCTTAAAAAACATCCCTAATCTAAAACTTTCTTTCAAAGTTAAAGAAAATATCAAATCTATTTTTTCCCACACTAAAGACAAAATTAACAAATCGTCAAAAAGTGGTATTTATAAATTATCCTGTGGTGAATGCCCGGTGACCTATGTGGGTAGACCAATGCGACCTTTGGATATACGCATCAAAGAACATCTGTCTAAGATTGATAAATCTAGTTTTAGGAATCATATACATGCTTCAAAGCATGGCTTTAGTCCTCATAGAGCTAGTAAGATCCTACACAGTATACCCAATAATAATTATATAAAAATGAATTTACTAGAAGATCTTGAAATCAGTAGAGAAATGAAAAGGAATCCTCAAAATTGTGTCAACACTCAAATTAACTTAAATTGTAAGTTTGATCCTATCTTTAAGAAGTTTCTTTAATAATACACTTAGTATAAAATTAACCATCATTTGAACAAGCTTTGACCCTTATTTTTTTAAAAAAGTGATTTAAAAGAGAGAATTTCTTATACTTTCTTTCATTGATTTCATCTACATAGAGAATGTTTGATATTTTCTTCTTCATTATTTATTTTATTAATAATACCGATAATCAATAATAGCTGTGAACTCTTAACTTAGCAAATGATACTTCTCCTTGGTTGGTTTTTCATCTACTTCCTTCTATTTGGTCAAACTTTAAAGTTTTGTTTTTTGATAATTTTGATAAATGTATATTTAAATCTTCACGTTAACTAATCAATTTAAAATAGTTAAATTTAAAATTCTACAGTAGCTAAAATTAATAATCAATAACCTTCAGACGTCATTTTAGACATTTTCAATTTTTAATTAATAATTTAAATACAGAGGTCGCTCTAGGATTTATTTCCGTATATCCAAGCTTCCTATTTCATTTTCATTTTACTTCAAAAATGTAAGTCAAAGACAGCTGTTGTCGTTACTGTATGTGGTAACCATGTTTTTATAAAAACTTTTTAAATGTGAATTATACATATGTATAAGGGTTAGACCCAAGATCTGTGGCCTACAGAGCCCGATCTTTGAATTTTAATATATCGTTTGTGCACAATTGTCCTTCTATGAAGTATTTATTGCTTAATTGACGTAAGTTTTTTCTATCATTGTATTTTATATAAAAAATGTACTTAACTTAACGTTATTTTAGGATAGCTCTATAACATACAAAAACCAGCTTACCAGTTAGACCTATTTAGAAGTGTGTACAAGTCTTACAGTCTTTTTCAATTTTATTTCTCCACCTAGAGACCGATATAAGAACCCACCACTCGTCTGATTGATCCTTATATATATCGAATTGACGGTCGTACTCCTTTTTTCCGATATATATATATATATATATATATATATATATATATATATATATAAAACTTAAAACGTAAAAAAATACGACTGTGTTTTTTTTGTTTAAAACTTTGTTTTAAAAACGGATTCCGTTGTCAAAGGTTAATTCGATAATATTTTCATAATATCAAGTTCTGGTGCTACTTCTTCTTTATTTCATCCAAACACAAAAACATATATTTCTTCAGATTTAAAAAGTATGATAATAGATAAAGACAAATTCTGCGAACTAGAAGGATGTACCAGCAATTGTACATCAAAAACTTTATTGTATTGCCATGGTCAAAGATTCTTTAATTTTCAATCGAGACTTTGTCTAGTAATGTTCTAAAATACTTGCCTGTCGCATGTCTAATTTAAATATTACGTTTATATGAAATTAAGCTACAATTAATAATTGTAATAAAAATCACATTTTTAACTTAATAGTATTTGACGTTTGGACTTTTACCTGACAATGTATAACCAAATGCCAGAAGAATGGACTTACTTTACTTTATCGTGTCCGGACATGTCATTTATAAAATTTCGGCCCAATATCGGGCTACGTCGGTTCCATCTTTGTTGGCGAGCCACAAATCTTCAAGGGTACATCAATGAGGACAGTTTCTGCATGTAAGAAGATGTTCCATATTTTGTGTTTCTCCACAGTCACAGTTCACATCATCTTGGTCTATTTTTCCCCATTTTGCCATGTTTAATTTTACTGTAGCAACCCCCGTTCTTATCCTATTCAAGGTTTTCCACGTTTTAAAGTCTAGGGTCTGGCCAGTGCACTGAACCTGGGAAAGTGGAAAATACTCATGTGGTTCATCCTGCACTGTTCCAAGGAAGCTTTTCCTAGATTTTAGTCGCTTTTGTGGTGTTCGAGCTTTGTATAGGGCATGCCGATCGTCCGCGATCTGTTTAATTTTCTCTATGTGTTCTTCAGCGCCTCTGCGTGTTGAGAGTTCTGCAAAACCCGCTGCTCTATAAAGATTTGAAAGTGGCGTTGGTTTCATGCACCCCGTTACTATCCTGCATGTCTCATTTAGCGCAGTATCAACTTGTTTGGTGTGGGCAGATCTGCTCCAAATGGGGCACGCATATTCAGCAGTTGAGAAACACAGTGCCTGTGCCGTTGTTCTTAAAACGCCAGGACGTGCGCCCCATTTACTTCCCGTTAGCTTTTTGAGTATGCTGTTCCTAGTTGTTA